GCTTCTAGGAACAAGTGCCTTACTAGTAGTAACAAGAACGCTACTAGGGGCTCCTGGCATGTCGGTCGTTCCGCTCCAAAAACTTAAGCTGGGACTTGCGGTCAGTGGATGCGCTTGCTGCCGGTTTGGGACTTTGAGGTCAGTGCTTTGCCATTCAGTTTTTGCAACGCTTTGGTTTGAGATGCTCTTAGATTTTGAAGCCATCGCTACTAGGGTGGAGACCATCGCTAATAGTAACAAGAAGCTACTATGCTTTGGTTTGTGGCACAAGACTATGCTTTGATCCTGATTGATCGGAACTGGACATCCTTGATCTTCTTACTTCCATCTGACGGCAGAAGATTCCTTGCACAAAGGTATGGGGTCACTTAGAACGAAAATGATTTTGAGCGCTACAAACAGGGCCTGGCGCAAGTTCACCGTTCCACTTTGTTGGTTTCTCGATATACTGTTTCATTCTGTAGCTAAGGGCATCATTACTAGTAGCAGGACAATTTGTCCCCAGCTGGTCGAGTAGTGGACTTCAAGACTCTACATTCTCTACATGCGGTCATTTTTGGAAGGCTGGATCATCTAGGGTCAGAAATGAGGGCTGAGTCTTACCGCTCTGCAGGTATATGGATGTGCAGTTTCTTTGAAGCCCGCCCATATTGAATAAAGTAGGCGCCTAGTTCATTGAGTAAGGGACAGACTTGTACGCTCCTAGCTACTAGGACGCTACTACATATGGACGCAGGATAGTTCACGCTTCTTCAAGGAATCTCCCCCAATCTTGGTTCCTAGATGTTTAAGGAAGTTTAATACAAACGGAGTTGTTGTATGACGACTTTACAATTCAAGTCTGCGTGCTGTTGCAGTAGAAACAAGTGCCTTACTAGTAGTAACAAGAAGCTATTAGAAACAAGTGCCTTACGACTAGGAGCAAGAAGTTGCATCATGACTGTACGCTTCCGCACCGCTTTCCACGAGCTCCGTCGCTCTGGAGTTTTGGAATTTTGTCGCACTTCTTGCGCCTGAGCATGTTTTGAAAGCAAAAATGTAACCAAAACGAGAAAGTAATACATGTTCCACGCAAAAACACGGGACACATAAAAGGGAATTGAACTCAAAGGCAAACAGATTGGGTCGCCTTCTGCTCAAATAAGTCCTGCAAGATTCACGGACAAGTACTGAAATGACACAAAAGGAAGATGCAAGAATTCGATAACTTTATATAGGTAGCATTCTCAAACCACTTTGGATGGCCAAGTTTCTCACTTCTTGGAAAAGCTGAACAACCACAGCTTCCAGCAATGGGCAGTTGCCCAGAGTGGCATTCTCTCCTTGAGTTCACCAGCAGTGCCAGCGGAGACTTGAGAGAACTCTGCTGCGCTCTTCCCCACTGGCCTGGGTGTCACTCAAAACCCGTGCCTCAACAGTCTTCAAACGAAAAGATGAAGCCGTCTCCACCCACCAAAATATGTCGTTTGTTTAGGGCTGCCTCTACGACCTAGTAGATTCCTTTGCTAGTAATTACAATTCTAATTAAATTCTTATTGTTACTACAAGTAAGGCACCTGTTACTACCAGCGTGGCACTTGTTACTAGTAGCTTCCGAGCAATTCTGGCTTACAGCCTGTCTCTCTGTCCCTGAGGCCACATCGCAGAGTGCCTGTAGGGACGAACGTTGCCTGGAGAGCACAAAGGACGTGCCCTTCTTGCGCCAAAAGTCGCTGTGTCTCTCTGTCTTGGAAAACACAAATACGGAGAAACTGGGAAGCATTCAATGAGTTTGAGTTTACCCTTGAAAGATTTCTGGGTGGGCTTTTGATTGTAAGTGTTTCTAGTTGACCCAGTTGACCCCGAAGACCCAAGCGAGTGACTGGTTGCCTTCGTTGACGTTCAACCGGGCCGATTGGATCAACTGGGTTCTGAGTTTTACCGTGGCCCGCGGTCGCAATGACTCTGCACAAACACTCGCCTTCGGAGCTTGAAGCTGACGCCTGCTGCACAGTGTTGGAAGTTGCAAAGTTCAAAAGATCTAAGGCGGAAAGGGAAAAAAAAAAACATAATTTGTCTTGCTTGACTTTCTTCTTTCTTAGTCCGCTCCTACTTGATTATTACAGTAAGTAGGCACCTACTTAATTAGCTAAGGGCGACTAGCTAGCTACCAGGAGAAGTTCGCTCCTAGCTAGGACGCAGCATAGCTCATGCTTCTTCAAGGAAGGGGGTAGCTTCCTTGAAGAAGCGCTCGCACTAATGATTTGTTTCCTAGATTTTTTGGTAAATTTAACGGTAGCCAGTAGCCACATTCATGTCGTTTCTAGGTTTTAGAAAAACCTTGGTTCAAGCAGACCATGAATCAGTGGCCTTTGGTTCAAAGCGCTCCTGGAATCAAGACATTCTGAACACATATCAATGACTCAAAGTCATTTGATGGCAATGGGTCTGTCCTTTAGTTGTGACGCCGTTCCAGCAGAAGCTGTATAAACATCAGGCCTGAGACGGTGGTGATGTCGCTGCGTGCGCTGCATTTTCCTGTTCCTTTTGAGGGCCCAACGGTGAGTCTTGAGATTGATTGCCTCAGAGGGCGTCAAAACACGAGCGAAAAGTAAAGAGCGATAAGGGTTCAAAGGTCCAAGACAATTCGGACATCAAAGCGTTCTTGTCAGAATGCAAAAGCGTTCTCATTCCAAGTGCATCGCTACTAGTAACAAGTGCCTTACTAGTAGGAACAAGAAGCTAATAGAAACAAGTGCATAGCTACAGTCTGCCCTCCTAACACTTAGTCAATGAAAGACGCTACTAGCAATACGAAGCTACTAGCTGCTGGACGCAGGATAGCTCACGCTTCTTCAAGGAAGCTCCCTCAGGCGGGGGGGAGCTTCCTTGAAGAAACGTGAGCTATCCTGCGTCCATATGTAGTAATTACAAGTGCATCGCTAGTAGTAACAAGTGCCTTACTAGTAGTAAACAAAAACTATTTTTTTTAATTCTAATTGTTACTAGTAGTAAGGCACTTGTTTCTAATGGCTTCTTGTTACTACTAGTAAGGCCAGGAGCCCCTAGTAGCTTCTGCGATTTGGTTCCTGGATTTTCAGGGAAACTTGACCTTTAGACCTTTTTTGGTTCCTTTTGACCTCAAAGCTTTGGAGAATGGGTAGACCCTTTGTAGATCTTTCTGATTAAAACATGTAATTATATAGATTGCCCCTTCACCAAGCTGAGCAACTTATAACAATGGACTTGGCCCTTGACCTGCTCCAGATTTTGGCTCAGAGGAGACCTGCAAACAAAACAAAAGAACTTGGAAAATGATGCGACAGGCTTGTTCCCGTGGGGTCCTGTATAGTAAGGAGCAGAAGCGAACACAACTTAAAGCCGTCAGAAGCGATGGAAAAAAGCAAACCATGAGGGCACGAAGAACCAATAAGCAACCATGAACAATGACAAAAAGTAGAAAGCTGTTGCGTAAAAACGTAACTGATGAGGCTGAGTCATCCTGGATGACAGTTCAAAACCTAGAATCTATATAGGACTGTTTCCAAGTCTCCTTTGCCAACCCTTAGGGCGGATCAGGCGTTTAATGTTCATTGAAATGATTTTCCTACTGAAATCAGACAACGTTCCCAACAAAAAAAATAGACTCAAGTGAGGCATAAATCCTGCGTGCACTGACTCTGACTTTAGGGGACCAGAACTCTGTTCTGCAGCTGTTGACATGTGGCTGGCTGGACCTAGACTGCACACGCAGCCAGCACAGCCAGCTCTCAGTACTGGCATCAGCACTCAGCACCAGCGCCGACACCCTATCTCGACAGCGCACAGCCAGCTCAGTATTAGAAGTAGGAATAGAACCCCATAGTTTCGCCATCTGGGGAACACTCGCCATTGACCTATTTGAACTAATTCTGTCTGTGTCAATGTTCGCTTCGAGAATCTCACCTCGCTGCTCTGCGCCGGTTGATCTTTGGGAGCCTTCAATTAACGAGCTGTGCCCAACTTCCGATCATCCACATGCAGTGTCTTTCTCAAACCGAAACATCCCGAATGCATCTCTAGCTATGCCTGAAAGAGCAAGGATGGAGAAGTTGCCTTTTGAGGAGCCTCGCAACTCAACGACTCGCCGTTCCTAGCTTCTTGTGGTAGCTTCTTGTTATTAGTAGCGTCCTCTTGCCCCCCCCGTAGTACGGCCAGGAGCCCCTAGTAGCGTCCTTGCTCCTAGTAGCGATGCCAGGAGCCCCTAGTAGCTTCTTGTTTCTCAAAGCTTTCCTCAATGCTCCATAAATGCTATTAGGTTGGAGGCCATCGCTATTGGGATGAATGCCCCACAAGCTTTTCTCAAAGCGTTCCTCAATGCTCCACAAGCTTGAGGATGCTACGGTCTGCTCCTGTGACACGAGTGAAAGTGACAAAGTCGTTGCTCTTGACTACCGTTGCAAACCAAGAACGCTAAGAACGCCTTCCTTTAAGATTCTTTTGTTTATTCTAAACTGGCAGGAACCGTTCTGACAGCGGATATGGACGCCAAACTTCACAACAGGTGAAGAATCCTTGAAGTCGGCAGTCTGACCACGTGCATCATTTGATTTGTTTGACCTCAACAAACATGTGTCCCAAAGAATGAGCAAGAACTGAGCTGAGGCATGTCAAGCAGCATATGGAATGACAACAAGGCCGCCACACAGGCTGTGCAAAAAGTTTGGACTGCAGGTGCTGCACCATGCCACTCCCTGGTCAACAAGGAAACTACCTTTGTAAACCAGTCGAATTGAAGGATCGACTGGTTTCTCTAAAAGAAAGTGTTTCTGAGAAGACAAGGAGTCCGAAAGGGTCGGAGAGAACACTGTCTTCAGACCCTACTAGGAGCAAAGGGCATCGCTACGAACGGAGCAAGGACGCTACTAGGAGCAAAGGGCATCGCTAGTAGTAACAGGTGCCTTACTAGTAGTAACAAGAAGCTAGTAGTAACAGGTGCCTTACTAGTAGTAACAAGAAGCTAGTAGTAACAGGTGCCACGCTAGTAGTAACAAGGACGCTACGAACGGGGCTCCTGGCATCGCTACGAACGGAGCACCCGAAAAACTGAAGAAGAAAGCGCTTTTGAGCCCAGAGAGGTGGACGGGGAGGCAAACCGTCCTAAACCTAAACCCAACTGTCCCAAACTGCGGTTGGTAGAAAGAGCGGTGGAAACAACAGGCAGTGCAACTACGATATCGAAGGGCACGTTCGATTCATGGTGCCCTCTCCGAGAGGGGACCGTTGAGCAGCGTGTTCTTTGTGCTTTAGTAAAGGACACCCGCAGCTTCTGCTGCTTAGTATTTTGTGTGCCCCACAAATTTGTCCGAAAAGAGTGTCCCACAAGAGTGCCCTACAAGAGTGTCAAGCAAAAGTATTGCCCAAAGGTGTCCTACAAGAGTGTGCAACTACAAGATTCCGCGACACGGGCGTCCTATAAGAGTGTTGCAAAAGCGTGTCAAGCAATGACGTCGCACAAAGTTGTCCGGGAAGAGTGTCACCCCAGAATGTCCGTCAAGAGTGTCTTTGATGAGTGTCAAGTGAGAGTGGCAGACAAGGTTTGCTTGTTTGTGTCTTCGTACGTGTGTGCATTCAGGTTCGCGGGCTCTATTTAATTGTGTATCTCTTGTTCTCCGTTCCTCCTTCTTGCCCAAATCGAGAACTAGAAACCATCCGCATGCATATGCACTAAGTATGCAAATAGCTGTAGAGCCCTTGCACACCGCTAGCACACATTCCATATCTTCAGCCAAAAAACTGCAAGTGAAAACCCTCACACGATTGCGTTTGTCGCTTATGGCTGCCCAGCTGGGGACGCTTCAGCCGCGGAGTCCATACACTGCTTCTTGGTGCCTTACATTAAACTTGTGGCCATCAACTGACTGCAGCTGAATGCTGCATGCCACGTCGGCGTGCATCACCTTATCACCGTTCTAACACCACATGCATAACATTTACAAATTCCTTCTTCCTTCTTCATATTGCATATCATCACATCACCACACCACCCATTCACATTGGAATTGCCAAAGTTACTACATGACATCACCATGTTCGCTATGAGGGTGGAGGCCATCACTAGTTAGTAGGTTCGTCTTTATTATGCAAGTGTTTTTTACATAAGTGCCACGCTAGTAGTAACAAGTGCCTTACTAGTAGTAACAGGTGCCTTACTAGTAGTAACAAGAAGCTATTAGAATTAAATTTCTGCACTTCACCGCGGTAGATCTCACCACGTCACACGATCATCGACACATATTATGACATCGACGCAAATCACTTCATGACGTCTTCACACTTTGCACCGCTCGGCTATGGCGTCGTCCCCCACCACATCCCACTCATTCTTACCCCCCTGAGGCCCTACGCTGGAAATCGCACGTTGATCTGCAAGTGTACCATGTTCACTTCAAGCCTCGCTCTGCCAGCAAATCGGAGCTTCTGGAGGCCTGCAAAACATGAAGCTTGAACTACTGAAAGCAAGAAACATTCTGCCTGAAGCATGTGGTTGTGAAGCGTGCGACGTGGAAACGCAAACCCTCGGTTTGTTGTCTTTGCAGATTCATCTGCAAACTTTGTTTGCCATGTATAAGGCACGTGTGCATTCGTGGGAGATTGCTGTTCCTTTGCCAAAAGAAATTGACTCAGTACGGAATATTCAATGCAGGCTGCAAAATTCAGGCAAGACCCCCATAGCTCTCGCTATCTGCGGTAAAAAGATCGTGGAGTTGAGGGTCTCAACTCAATCAGGTGAAAATGCTGGTTGTCTGTGGATTCCAACTACATCTCTGAGATGGTGTGTAGGAGAAGTTGAACAGCTGCAGTTATGGAGCACGAAAAACTTTCGACTGTACTACCCACCCTTCCAAACATGTTCAATCCAGTCCACTCTGCACTTAGCTGTTGCACACCTAAGCATGGGTGTAGATGCATGACCCATGCACCAAACAGGAACAGCTCAGAGCGTCTCAGCCATCGGTGCCTCCTTGCATCCATCTGTGCGTTCACTTTCAGCCTGGGCATCACCATGCCCGCTGATTCAAACGTGGATGCGCAAATGACATAAGCAAGATCACACCTACAAAAAGGGACAGCACGGTGCGATTCTTTGGGAAATGAATGAATTATTCCCTTAGGACACTTCGCTATTATATAGGTTGGAGGCCATCGCTAGTAGGAGCAAGGACGCTACTAGGGGCTCCTGGCCTTGCTACTACTAGGAACAAAGGGCATCGCTACTAGGAGCGATCGGACGCTACTAGGTTGGAGGCCATCGCTCTTAGGTTGGAGGCCATTCCCTTACTATGTCCTCTCTACTGGAGCCCTGCCTGGTGACTTGCACGGGCAGGTGTTGGAGTCTCAGCGGCTGCCTAAGCAGACTTCATCAAAACTCTGAATGTGGCAACTGTGGCAATTGAATGAAATCTGTTCCTAGTAGCGAACATTGCTCCTAGTAGTAAGGCCAGGAGCCCCGAGTAGCGTCCTTGCTCCTACTGTTGATGGACAAAATCCTGCACCACCTCACCACTTTACCCTGGAAGGGTCGCATAGCAACCCCCGTGCCCCCTCATTCAATGTTGGCACGACCCCTCTGAGGAGGTGGTGCAGGATTTTGGACCTTCAACTTGTTGTTGTTTTCTCACTGTGGCTGTGGTGGCCCCAATGTTAACGAGGGAGAACGAGGGCAGCAAGAAAAGTGTGCGCAAAGTGGTGCAGGATTTTGTCCATCAACAGTAGTAGCGATGCCCTTTGCTACTGGTGGGAAGCCGACAAATGCAGTGCAAACACTGCTAAAACTAGTAAGAGCAGAGCTTTCAAGGCCAGCTCCCGCTTGCGCACCGCTTCTTCTCTCCCCTGCAAAGATCTTTAGTCAAATCAATATACACCTGCTCAACCTTCGTGTAGCCAGGAGCCCCTAGTAGCGTCCTTGCTCCTAGTAGCGTGGCACTTGTTACTATTGCTACTCTGTACCTACCTTAACCAAAACTCGTGCAAACTTCTGAGCAACAATTTCAAAGCACTGTACGCTGGCACAAAGTTGGTCTTAGAGTTGTTCGTGAGGCTCCTTCTAGGTTGGAGGCCATCGCTACTAGGAGCAAGATGGAGCAAGGACGCTGCTAGTAGCTCCTGGCCTTACTACTAGGAACAAAGAAGCTACTAGTAGCAAGGCCGCTATTTGGTTGGAGGCCATTCGCTTAAAGTCTCTATCCCGGCTGATCATCGCATCAACAGCGCCTGTAGATCCTGCTCACGACGGTCAAGCTCAGCACTGCGCCGTGCCAGCTCGGCCTCAACAAGCGAAGGCCAACAAGCGAACTCCCGGTAGCGGGTGGCCATTCAACCCTGTAAAGGTTGGTCCATTGCAGTCTTGTTCTAACATTTCTACCTTCCTCCAAGCCGGGAAGATAAAGTCCAAAGGCTTCATTGCCTTTTTCCGGGTTTGGATGGGTTTGGGAAGTTTGGGTTCAGCAGCGGGGTTGGAAGCGCAGTCAGGCCAACGGCAAGTCACCAGCAACTTCAACTTCGGACTGGCAAGTAGTCTGCGACACAGCGGCACGGCTCTGGATAGTACCGCAAGCTAGTCTCCCAGCTTTGATCACTTCGTCAACGAATTCAACTGCAACGGCCCCGCCTTCACTCCCAATGGCTGTCGTCCAGGGCATTCACGACAGCAATGTCCAAAATATTCAAAACTAAGAACGCTACTAGGAGCAAAGGGCATCGCTACTAAGAGCAAGGACGCTACTAGGGGCTCCTGGCCTTACTACTAGGAACAAGAAGCTACTAGTAACAAGGATGCTAGTAGGTTGGAGGCCATCGCTTCTAGGATGAGGCCATCGCCAGCAGGTTGGAGGCCATCGCTTCTAGAGGGTTTCTCCTGACGCTCCTCCAATTCCCCTCGCACAGCATCCTACTTCAAAATAGCAACCTCAGCCACGCCACCCAACAAACAGGCAACTGCTCGGACACTGAAGCAGAACCAGCCAAATCCAGGCACGACTAGAGTAGAGTCAAAAGCCTAAGAAAGTCACCGATCTACGGTGGGATGAAACTTGAGCACGAGCAAAAGCAACCCGAATTAGTAGCAAGTTTCACTACTGCAAATACGCAAGTTCTATCTCCGTTTGCAGTCCAGTTGCAAAATATTGCAAGTGAACATGCATGTCAAAATCAATCACAACTATTGCTTGATAGACTCCATTGTCTGTTGTCATGAACTGGTCCACGTTCGTTGTGAAGAAACAAACGTACAAAAAGGCTAATCCCCCAACACAGTTGGTATATACCCTGCCCAGCCGGTCCCTTGCTGCACGCACCTCCACTCTGAGCTCAATCAAAGCCCATAGCTGTTCTGCGATGCCATCCACATCAGCCTGCAGCCAGCCAATCCAACATCTCTGTTCGCATGTTCGACTGCGAAATACCGCAAACCTGAGCAGGCATAAAAAGCAAAGCAGCGAACGCAAAACAGAACTATTCAGATTGTTGTTGCTATTAGGTTGGAGGCCATCGCTAGTAGGTTGGAGGCCATTGCTTCAGATTGCAAGCTCGGTGCCTTCATGTTATGTGCAAAGAGCAGCCAGTTTTTGGGCCCGAGCTTGCAGACTTGGAGCAAGTCGAGTGAATTTAAGAGCAGATGGCACCACTGCAGCAACAGCAGACCAGCAGCACCCTTTTATGGTGGAGAGCCATTTGGTGGTTTTTGTGAAACGCTGGAGAGCCGGAGACGCACCATGGCACAGTCTTCAATTTCAAGCGTCAGAGCAAGCCTTTGCTGAGGACAATTTACCCACAACAGAGTCAAGCCAGACTCTTGCTTGAAGTTTCCACTGCTTTCTGTCCCATGTCAAAGAGCTCACTGTCCAAAAGCAAAGCTTGCCCTTGAAAAAGAAGGGCAGCATCTCCCCTTTAAGGAGTGCACATTTGCCCATATTTCCGCAGGTCCGTCAAGAAGTGTATCACATTATCACATTCTATTCTTTGGAGGTATGCCTCACTCTCTTGGGTGATGCAGGACATTCACCAAGCAATGAAAAGACCTGGGCAAGCAATTTGCCAAGCGATGCCAAGACATGTTTCTCACTTGCCTTGTCCGTGCTCACAGACAAACCTGCATGGAAAAATCGATCGTGAACAGTGCTTTGACGCCACATGTTTTGCCATGTAGCAAACTGTGCAGTCCTCTACTCTCACTTTGATCAGCATCAATTGGTGTCCAGTCCTCGAAGCATCAATGAGAGGATGAATCAGCGAAATGAACTTAATAGCGATGGCCTCCAACCTACTAGCAATTTCCTCCAACCTACTAGTGGCTAGCGGAATATGTGAATGAATCGGCGAAATGTGTGAAATGTTGACGTCAAAAGTCGAATCGGCCACTTGCGGGGGCAAACAACTCGAAGACTTCCCACCTCCTTCCGTCTTCGCAGAAGTGCTGACATAGGCTCTATGCCATCCCCTGAAGTCGTGTGAGCAAGAAAGAAATGAATGAGACCAAAAAAAGTATATTCTGAGATGTCTTGTCACGTCGTAGACCTGACACGGTGTATCTAGACCTCACAAATATAGTCTCACAGTGAATACTGTAGTTCAGAATTGAATAGATTTCGGGCAAAACTGTCCAATAGTATGGGCTTTCAGATTGCCGAACAAATCTGAGACTCCCAAAGGCTGCGCGCAAAAGTAAACTCAACATGACATGCTCCTGTCATCTCTGGTTATGGTACACTTAGTCGGGGTTAAGAATTGTAAAGCGTGGTTAGGTACAGGTCTCATAGTGTCCTAGTCTCCTTTATAGCACTTCTGTTCTGCCCACCGCCTGACAGGGCAGGGCTGGATTTTGCGCGGGACAAGGGCTCTGTCTTGTTCGTCTGAAAAGCCACCTGCAAATAGAGCGGATGATGCAAGAAAATGCACCAAAAAGAACACTAGTTTTGCTTATTGAAGCATGCATGCATTTGTTCCGAGACAAAGCACTTGGAGGAGGTTTTCAAACAAACCTCTGCCTCTTGATTTTCTGTTGTGACGGTAGATAGCACCTTGGGCTGGCTCTGTGTCTGGATGCTCAGTTGCAAGCCACGCCTGAAAGCGCTTTGCTGTGGGCGTGTTTGAATCAATTGCCATGCCCAGCCTTTGAGCAATGGGTTTTGCTTTGGAGGGCGACAGCTCCTTGAGAATGGCAAAAAGATCTGAGAATCAAGATAACGAGAAGCATTGTTTGTATGTTCCTTTTTGTTTTTGTGTTTGATCTGAGAGTTTGGCTTGACAAATGAATGTATGGTCCTGATTGGAGATGTCTGGACCCTTGATGATGGGGGATGTCGATCCTTCGTACGACAAGCCGCGACAATCAAGAGCAAGAATGAAGTAGGTAGTCGCGATGGCCTCCATCCTACTGGGGATGGCCTCTACCCTAATAGGGATGACCTCCAACCTACTTGCAATGGCCTCCAACCTAAGATGGAAAAAACATTGACATGTCAAAAGATATCCTCGTTGGTCCAACAGCGCTCTGACTCTCTGCAGCTCCTCGTCAGTCGTACGAAGTCAGATATACAGCATTTGCTGATAGCTTCTTGCTCTTAGTCCTTGCTACTAGTAGCGATGCCAGGAGCTACTAGTAGCTTCTTGCTCCTAGTAATGCCCTTGCTATTGGTCCGCAGAGTGGAATGTGCTTTCAACAATCAACTATAGACTTTTGCCGTTCATCTGCTGAGGACCGACTGTTTAGCTTGTCCTGCTGAAGGGATTTCACTTCCATGCATTTGTCTTCGAACTTCTTGGCCAGCCATGCCTCAAGACTAACAAAAAGAGGCTGAAACCAGACGAAAAGCAAATCACTCCAGAGTTGTTCAATCTTCACATCACCTCACCTTCTCCTCCTTTTCCTTGTCAACAACTGTCAAGAGCCACTGCACGCCACCCTGCCACTGCAAGCTTTTGGTCCAAACTGGGCGAAATCCGCTCTCAGATATTGCCCGTTCCAAGCCTGCATTTCCTGCAAAAGACTGGATCTGCTCTCAGTGTTTCACCAATTATTCACTTTCGCAAGTGAAACAAAGGTTGAGCCAGTGGGTCAACCTTACGCTTGGCCTCACTGCGGACTACGTGCAAAAATGCTGTGAACAGCCATGGGCAAGAAAAGAAGTAGCCTGGTGGTCCACATTGGCAGGGCGTCCAGCCAAGCCCGCAGCGCTCTGCGCAAAGGAAAAGTCTGTGCAAAACTGTAAAGCACTGAATGTTTCCGATTGCAATTGCTTGTTCTCTTAGGTTGGAGGCCATCGCTATGAGAAAGCAATGTATTTGAAACCTTCTCGCTGGGCAACGGTGGAACAGAGCTGCCAGCGCCCATGTCATCGGAGAGTGCTCAACTGATGGTTAAGAGAACAGAACGGATGTCAAAAGAATGTTGATGATGTCAGATTTCAAAACGGACTGTTGTAGATCGATCGATTTGAATTCGTAACTCGCAGCACTGGTTTCGTCGCTGGTTATACTACAACTTGAATAGTAAACATGTCTATATATCCATCCCAAAATATGTGCCTGGCTTAATAAAATGCCGTGTCTGTTCTTCTGTGATTGCCTCCACGCGTCTTTACGAGTTCTTGCTGGAGCCGAGTTGTTCAGTGGGTCATATCTGAAACGGATTCCACCCATTAATTATAGCCATATGATGCCATATGAACAATGTCATGTGAAAAAGGCTCATACATCTTTCACACCTTTCGCAACTCAAGTGTCCAAAATGCTGAACATAGCACTCTTTTGCGCTCCAGCCCTGGTTCCTCCCCACTTTGACCAACAGCGCTGTCGATTTCGGGGAGTTCGAAAGGACCCATTGGGCGTCACCGAGCTTGGCGAATCCCTGCACCACAGGCGTCGAACTTCGAGATTGGATTGATTCTAAATGTGAACCGTTTCCCAAGCTTCTTGTTACTACTAGTAAGGCACTTGTTCCTAGTAGCGATGCACTTGTTTCTATTACATGATTGGAAGCCATTGCTCTTAGGTTGGAGGCCATCGCTACTAGGCTGGACAGCGCACCTGCAAACCTTCGTCACGGCCGTGGAACGGTGCGAGGCTGGCTGGGCACTGGTGGAGCGCCTTAGTTACATCAGCTATAAAAAAATATAGATGTATATATATACATATGTGTATACAGGTGAAACGATTCCCAAGGAAGCTTGTAGCTACTAGTAGCTCCTGGCCTTACTACTAGTAGCAAGAGGACGCTACTAGTAACATCTAAACATTGAAAGCGAAGTAGCCTTTCATGATCCTCTGTTCCGTGTACCAGTTAAGTGACGTGATGTCAAAGTTCATCTTGTGCGTTCCATATGGGTCATTGAATGCTTTTGCAAAAACTTTGGTAGGTAGGAGTCTGGCTCTAGCAACGCTGGATGCTGGTTGCAGTACATATTTGGGTTGGATGGATTGTTGCTGCTGTTCCGACAACAGTTGTTTCTAGGTTGGAGGCCATCGCTAGTAGGGTGGAGGCCATAGCTACTAGGCAAATTTAGATCCAATTGTATTACATGTGTTTGGAGGCCATCGCAAGTAGCTTCTGTCCAAGCCATAAGCATCGACAAACAGGAAGTGAAATCTTTTCCCCTAGACCGTGTGATGATGGTGCCACCTTTCTTGGCAACAATGTTCCTAGTTGCTTTTTGCTACTAGTAGTAATGCCCTTTGTTACTAGTAGCGATGCCTTTTTTGCTAGTAGCTTCTTCTTTGCCTTCTTTTTTCCTGCTTGTGTTGATACTGCGGTTGGCATCGCCAGCGCTGCAGAGTTTTATGTTCTTCGCTCCAGCGTCGTGTTGGCAACACTATGCATTCGGCGCTTGTGACACACACTCTTCCTTTGCGAAGGGCACTAAGTGTCTTCATTTTACCTGTTTGCCTTGACCAAAGATGATTGGCAAAATAAAGAAATAGATACTAAAAATGATGTTTCTTGACATGGGATTGCCGAGGTTTTGGCCATTCATGTCTACCTGTCATGCTTATCAGTCTACAGGCTTTGCTTCACTTCACATCGGCTGCTATGGAAAGGCTTTAGGGAAAAGGGCAACACAGGAAACGTAGCAACAAGACATATTTGCGTTCCTGCTGCATATGAAGAAGGCAAAAACCTGAAGCCACCACTCCACACGCCCAAAAGGTCAGTGGACAAAGAGGAACAAGGAAAAAAAGTAAAGAGAACATAGATCTATATAGATGAGTTTTGATAACTTTGCGAGCAAAGAAAGCTCGGTGAAGCCTGGGTGACCAAAGAAGCATGGTGAGTGACAGTTCAAGAGATGGACCAACCCCAAAGATGTGGAAAGTCATCTGCCCCAATGCACCCAAGCCTACCATACTTCACGACGTATCACAGCCAAATTCATTTCCTACTTGCCAGCAAATGTATCAGTGGTTCGCTACCTCAGGGACTCAATATATATATATATAGTTAGTAGTAGAGTGCAGGGCACGAAAGGACATAACAAACACAAAGAAAAAAACGTTATGACTCATATTCATTGTATACCTTTTTGTTCGGGTAAGTCGAAGGAACAATGCGGAGAAATGTGTACAGCGAAACGCACTGGTCAGGAGAATCTGGAACACACAGAAAAAGAGTGCACTGCCTTGCCAAGAGTTCTGCATTTGTTCAGACACTATAGCATTGATGATAGAATACAAAAAACACGGATGTGGACCCAAACAAAGGGGTCGACACACTATACATACTCTACCTTACCATCCCCCAAAAAAACATAACATGTTTAAACACAATAAACCAAAAGTTGAGTCCAAACCAACAAGGCGCCTCTCCGCGGTGCAGGGGGAGGGTATCCACTGGGGACAGCTGCGCCATCCACCCTGCGCGCCGAAGTCAAACAAGTGAAAAAAGGAACACAAGTAAACTGATGCAATATTCATGAGGATGAAAAACTGTCATCAAAGTTGTCCTAACAGCATTCGTGTGACTGACCAATCCTGGGACTTGAGCTACTGCTCGATTTTGGTCGTGGTGGCATTGGAGATGCACTCCTGCAACACATGCCCACGGAGGTGGTTCTCGTGGCCACAGTTCGATCTTTTGAGTTGTTCTGAGAGTCAAGCAGGGAGTCAAGGCGCATTTTGGTCTCTGTGTGTGTACCCTTTGGATTCAGACGGTGTGTTTTGGCATTTTCAACTGTGACAAGCAGGGAGTCAAGGCGCGAGATCACCAACCTTGACCAACGATGGTCCGAACGGCCATGCCCTGACTAGACTGCGAGACCGCCCACACTGACCTCTTGGAGTTTACCAGCTTCCTTCTTCCTTCACCTCAACAACGCATGTTTCATTGTCCTCCTTCTCCTTCCTCTTGAAAGATAAGCAATTGCAAGCCAGATTTTCGTTTGCTGACCCATTTGGTTCCTCCAGAACCAGGTCCTCGTGCACAAGTTCTTGGACCCTTTGTCGTGCACGGGGCCACGAGAGAAGCACTATCTGTGGCGTGCAAAGGTAGACCTCCGAGATTCCAGCCAAGGGCTCTTTTGCACAAGCTGAAAAACATTAACTTCTCACCTTCAAAAGAGCACATGTTCATCTTCAAACAGGAAAAGCATGCATTGCTGTATAGGAGTGCATGATGATCTGCGCGTTGATTGTATTGGAACAGGATCGTGCGCTTACAGAGAGAATGTGCGGAGCAGAAAAAAACAGGAGGCGCGCTTGTGACATAAAAAAGAACAAACAGCTCCTGTTTTGTTTGAGCAAAGCTACCTCTCGCGGCAAAAACATGCAACAGCATGGAACAGCCTTCAAGTGAGGGGGTCGCATGACGGGCATCGCAACCTTGTCTGCAAGTGTGGCTCGGGTTTCCTTGCTCGGCTTGGTGTCCCTGGTCGCAGTGGAGCTCCCGCCGAGCACAATGCATGCACCGTCTCCTCAACAGCACTTGGTGCAAACAAGCAAAAGAAGGCAGTAAGTTTGCCTGTCGACCTGTCGCCTTGGCTTCTGTTCTCGTTTCTTCTCCTTTCGTCTATTTCTTGCCCTTGGTGCAACTGCATTTGAGCGTTGGCCAACAACGTTTAGCTTCGATCGTAACTCGGCTCCTGAAAGCCCAAGCGCTGCGCAATCTGCAAACAGATCACGTTCAGTTTCTAAACAAAGAAGCTTGCTAAGGCTGCTAAGATCAGAAAGCTTTGGGATTGCCATGCAGCTCAATGCAGCTCCGTGGCGTTGCCTGCAAAGGAGTATCACCCAACTTGGTGCCTGCCTGAGCAAGCCACTTGGTAAATCAGCTGAGCTTTGGTGTCGCAGTGCCACCAACTTTCAGCGGCCTCAGGATCTGCTTTCATCTCAAGCAAGAACTTCGCCGCCTCCCACAGGAAGTGTTATCTTGAGAGAGAGAGAGAGAGTGAGAAAAAGAAGAAGAAGAAGAAGAAGAGTCTATGCATGTATTGGTACGCATATTAGATTGTTCTATCCCTTTTGTATATTTAAAAAAAAATATATATATATGTCTAAAAAAAAAGAAAATTATATATATATATATAGTACCCCCATGGACTGAGAAATGGAAGCACTTTGCAAAACTAGCAAGAAAAAAGTACCACATGTGTGCACATCGCAGAACATGGTCAACACATTTCAACGATAAATCAATTGCCTTGGACTGCCTCAAATCAATGAACATCACAATGAGCATACCATATTGTGATAATGTTATTGCTTGTAAGCACATCCATCTGCTTGTAAGCAGTGACCACTGAAACCTGTCCACACAAATCCATCGCTGGACCAAACCAGTCCAACCAATCAAAAACATAAAAAAAAAAGCATTGAGTTGATGTCGAGGAGAAAATTGCTAATACAGTCAGAAGAGAGCATGAGTGTTTTTTTTCTTGAGATGTTTGTTTTCTGTTTTGGACATGGGTTTCGATCTAGGACCTTGGTTTTTCTACCTGAGACAAAACATACCAACAAAGACATTGGCGTCTATGCTTTAGACGAAGTCTCCTGAAAACCTATGACAAATGGGAATGTACTGGCCTGCGGTGCCGCTAGTGTGCTGAGACTTGTGGTATAGCAAGGATTTGTTTGTGACGCAATACCACAATTTGTGCTGGGGGCCTCATGTGAAGGACATATTCTTTTTTGCTGGAATCGATATGTTGCAAGGCTTGATTTTGCTAAGCTCTGTGAGAGCAAACAGTACCCAATGACTTTTATTGCAGGTGCAAGTTTCCTGCATTGTGATTGTTGTGAGGACAAGGTATCTGCATATTTTTTGAAGCACCATAAGAGGTATGAAACTCTGGTATGGTCTTATGGGACTCATACTGGGATGAGGCGCTTTTTGTGTGCTAAGGTTTCTGCTGAGCCAAGCCCACAACTGTTCAACAAAGTTCCTCGTACTGGCCTTTCTTTGACAGCTGGGAAATTGCAGCAGCTTGCCAGGGGGGGGGTTGTTGCATGCATAAATACATACTGTATCTATGGATGAAAGTGGAAAGTCTGCAGGAGCAGAAAGTACAGCAGACGTGGTCATGCAGAAAGTACAGCTTGGCCTCTGCATGACCACGTCTGCAAACGAGAATGAGTGGAGTCTCCCCAGCACCATTGCGGACCTGGTCCAGTTCTTGAGTTCTTGAGCACAACTGTCAAGTATTCTCACCAGTTGTGTCTCAAGCATCTAACTGTTCAGGCCAGGTGCGTTGAGATCTGCCCCAAGTTCCACTAACAATTTCATGGCCGGCATCCTCAATTCAACAATTGTCAGAGCATCTGCGATTTGAGTTCAATCTTTGTGAACAATTTGAATTTACATTGAGGCCATCGCTATTAGGTTGGAGGCCATCGCTATCAGGTTGGAGGCCATCGCCAGCAGGTTGGAGGCCATTGCTATTTTAGGTTCATAGCAGCTGATTAGCTCCTCTCCGCAACCCAAGCTTCTTAGCAGCCTCGGATGCAAGGTGCAGAGGTGTAGCTCCCTGGGCATTGCAAGGATCCACCTCAAGCAAATCCATTCACATCGTCTCCTTTGAGAAATTGGAAAACAAACAAACAAACAAACAAACTGCCTCCACTCCGTAGCCCATGAAAAAGCTGATAAGCTCCACATTTCCAAGCCCTGCTGATGCATGTAGCACCGTATCCTCCGATCAATGCTTGCAGAAAATGCAATGATGCGATATGATTGAATGTGTTTCAAGAAACACAAATTTTGGAAAAAAGAAGTTAGCACCGGTTTGCATCGGGAAATGGACACCCCTGTAAAAAATTGAATATAAAGCTCGTGTCTTGTTTCTTTGTCTTTTTGTGCGTGTTCATATTGTACTTACTTACTTACTTATTTACTTACTTACTTACTTTTTTATTGACTTTCTGTCTTTATGTCTTTATTTCCTCTTTCTTTCTTTATTTCTTTCCTTCCTTCCTTCCTTTTTTCTTGCTTGCCTTCATGTCTTCCTTTCCTTAGTCTTTTGTGGACATTCCTTTCCCCCTCGACTAAGCTACCCTAAACGGTAGTCTTTACAGAAATGTCTTTGAAAGAAGACACCAAACACAAAGGAACCAAACACTGTGATTCCATGCAATTCCTGCGTCTCCGGGTGGACGGCTGCAAAGTCAACTCCATGTGCAGCCATTGTCTGAATCATGGCCTAAAATTGAATCTAACGCAATCAAGCAAAACACAAAAGGCACATTGTCCATTGAACTCAGGTGAGGCCATCCCTACTAGGTTGGAGGCTGCTATTAATGGATGTCATCAACTCTCTCCGCAGCACTGAGGTCCAACGGAATCATGCCGCCACACTGCATCCAACAATCGTGCGGCATCCGTCCAATGCTCCATGTGACTCTCCTGCAAACAGTAGCGATGGCCTCCACCTTGTTCCTAGTAGCTTCTTCTTCCTAGTAGTAAGGCCAGGAGCTACTAGTAGCGTCCTTGCGCTGCTACATACTTGCTTGCAGTTTAGAGCAAGTATAACCCTACCACACATGGCTTAGATCAGCAATCCAGAACTAAGTGTTACACGAACGTCTCCACAAGCAAAGAGCTTCCGGAGATGATCGGCAACTTCCGACAAAACGCACTGCTACACTGCAGGTGTCTGTCATATTTAAAGGGAGAAACGAACCGGGGGGGTGGAATATGATTATATATCTACAACAGGGACAAAAGCCTTTTTGCTCGTTTCTTAGTAAGAACCGGTCTTTCATTGCAGTAGCCACAACATGCCTTTAAACAAGAAAAGAAACTGCAGCTGTTCGATTGTTCTTCCGAGCGAAAGCGGTACTATTGACAAGAACACAATTAAGCCTGACCTTGGAAATGCCGCGCACACGGTTCCTCGTTCACTGAAACTACATGCTCTCATACACCATACACAGAGACCGCTATGGCCGCTATGGCTCAGGAAAATGGCCACAAGGCTGGATGTTCCTAATAGCTTCTTGCTCCTAGTAGTAGGGTAGGAGCCCCTAGTAGCGTCCTTGCTCCTAGTAGCGATGCCACAAGCCCCTAGAAGCTTCTTGTTCCTAATGTGACCATGGGATCCGTCTTGGCACGGTTTGGTCACAGTTGTAAACCGAGATCTCCTACCCTTACGCTCTTAGGTTGGAGGCCACTTCTGGGTTGGAAGCCATCACTCCATCACTCCTACCCTTACCACTTTGTATCAGCATTAAATCATCATTCAAAACCAAACTGCTGGAACCCAAACAAGGGACACTTTCACAGTGGTCACAAGGTCGGTATTGAGGCTATGCTGTTTATGCATGTTTATGACGTTTCCTTACTTCAACATATGAGTTAGCGTCAAAAATACATGCTTGGAGTGTGTTCGTTTCACTTTTGTCAGTCCCCTATCGTTTTCCATGGTTTTGGATTTTGCAAGTATGTATACATAGGGGTATCGTTTTTTGTCAGTCCCCTATCGTTTTTCAAGGAAAATCACGAAAGCAACGCAGAGATGAAACGTCCCTTACTAAAGTGGTTGATGATAATTTTGAGGTTGCCTCATATACAAACTCTGTTCAAGCAAAGGGCTTTCCCACATCTGCCAACTCTTGACTATGCTAGCTTCTGGCAACAAGATTTGACGAGACATAAGCGTTCAGCTCTCAACCCAAAGTCTACCATCCTTGTCTTTTGCAGCGATTACATCGTCGCATGCTGGGCATCTATAGTTGTTTCCTTGGTCAATCGCTTTGCACACTTGCTTCCAGTCTTTGAGAAAGAGCTATTAGGCTGGAGGCCATTGCTATTAGGTTGGAGGCCATTGCTATTAGGTTGGAGGCCAACGCTAGTAGGTTGGAGGCCATAGTGTTACCAATCCCGGGCATTCCAAACTCCCAACTTTCTTGAGTTCAGCCTGGAGGCGATAGCAGAAGACACTGTGAGATACCAAGTTGTTGGAGGGGATATCACGGCCACAGTTTCCGCATGAAGAAAGACCTGGACGAAAGAGTGCAAGTGTTGCACATTTGTACAAAGCGGGTAGAAATAGAAATAGATGATAAAGTCGTCCCAGCCTCCATGAGACTCCTAGCAAGACAATGTGTAACATGTCCAACCAAAGTAAGTCGCAAACTTGCCCCACACCCTGCTTGGGCAGCAGCTTCACCTCCAACCTAGAAGCGATGGCCTCCAACCTAATAGAGTGGATGCAAGTTGTTTTTGACACATTTCATCTCCACTCCTCCAAGTTCATGACCTCTGGCCGTCCTGATACACGTGTGTGATCTCCGGACCAAAAAGCGTTAAGATCCACAAGAGGAAGGATCTTAGGAGCGATCGGACGCTACTAGTAGCTCCTGGCCATACTACTAGTAACAAGCAGCTACGAACGGAGCATTTCGGGCATCGCTACGATGCGATCTGTCTTGCGTTCGATACTCCAGACTGACTTGCCTCGGCTGTTTGGAGCATGTGGACGCGCCTCCACAGATAAAGCATGTCGCTTGAAGTGGTGCAAATTCATAAGTGCAACAAGAATTCTTGAGCTCATATCTTTCCTGAACCTGTTTTGAAACAACGCAGACCAGCTAGATTAGATATAGAAGTTATGTGTCCTTTTCAACAAGGTGAGACGACAGCATCCCCTTTTTCTCAAAAGGCGAAAGTAAAACATCCGAGGTCTGAGGTGTCAAGAGGTCTTTTCATCGCCGTCAAACCCCAGGTCAGAGAAGCAACGCGAAGCAAAGCAAAGCGAAGGTCTTTTCATGCGGCCGCTGGAGAGGCCTCACGATAGAATGGGGATTTTCTGATGGCGTCGACGAAGGCTGGACCTTCCTCTGCCTGCACCTTGGCCTTCAAGGTCTCTGGGGTTTCTCCGGGCTCCACAGACACTACACGCTGTACAACAATTGGGCCTCCATCAACCTCTTCAGTGACCAAATGCACTGTGCAACCACTTTCAGTTTCGCCAGCATCGAGGACTGCCTTGTGAACCTCCAAGTCCATGCCTCCAGCATGTTTTGGAAGCAAGCTGGGATGGATGTTGATGCATCGACCTTCCCAATCTTTGCAGAACTCCGGGCTTACAATTCGCATGAAACCACACATCATCACCAGTTCCACCCCTTCTTCGCGAAGGACCTTCGTCACCTGAGCATCATACTCAGCACGAGGAGTACCTTTTTTGCACGGCACATGCACTGCTTTCACTCCTTCATTCTTGCCTCTTTCCAAAATGCCAGCATCTCCCTTGTTCGAAACCACCAGCACAATCTGTGCATTGAGTTCTCCCCTTTTGATCGTGTCAAAGGTCAGCTGTGATGAAGAGCCACGAGTCGAACCAATGAGCCCAATGCGCAGAGGAGACGCCATGGCTTCGGGTGCACTTGTTATTCGTAGCTTCTTGCTGAAACTCTTTGAACAAATATGAAAGAAAACTTTATGAAGAGAAACAGTTGTGGCACGCTGGTTTCAAACGCTTCTGCTTTGCTCTGGTACTTGCTGAACCCACATATTCTCAGCCTTTGAGGTCCAGCCAGAACAAATTGCTCTTTCGACAAACATATGGCTGTTAACTATGTAACTACCCCTCGCTACTATGCTGAATTCTGGGACATCATATCACTACCCCTTAGGATTCAGAAGGTTTACTGCGAAAGAAATGCTCGAGACTTTGCAATCTCCGCCTCAATCCGGTCAATCACAGCTGCTGTTTGGGGTCGTGCATCATGGGCATCGTCAGCCTCGAGCTCCTAAGCGGAGTTTGGTCATCCCACGCTCCTAGCAGTTTCTTGTTACTAGTAGTAAGGCCAGGAGCCCCTAGGAGCGTCCTTGCTCCTAGTAGCGATGCCCTTGTTCCTAGTAGCTTCTTGTTACTGTTAGTAAGAATGCTCCTAGTAGCGATGCCAGGAGCCCCTAGTAGCGTCCTTGCTCCTAGTAGTAAGGCCAGGAGCCCCTAGAAGCGTCCTTGCAACTAATCCAACACAAGGTACAAATAACCCTGCACTGAAAAGTTCGGATTGTCTAAAGTTGTGAAATGCGATACTTCTACATCATTGCTTTCCGATGCGACTGTGAAAGAAAAATGGGAAGTTTCTACTCTGGAAACTTGTGTGACAAAGAAACGACTCTTGGTCTGCATACTATGTTCTTATATAATGTAACTTTTCTTCTTCTAAGTTCGAGGTCATCGCTTCTAGGTTGGAGGCCACCGCTGCTAGGTTGGAGGCCACCGCTTCTAGGTTGGAGGCCACTGCTTCTGGGTTGGAGGCCATCGCTATGAGGTTTGTGTGACAAAGAACCCTTCAAAGTCCTTGATCCGATTCAAAAGGATCTGCGTAGTGGAACGAAAATTGTCAACCATATCATCCTTCTCCCGCTGGAGGCTTTGAACCTTCGAGAATTAAAACAACTGTCTGTCAAGTTTTTGAACCTGAAAAGCTATCTGTCACTGTTATTTCCTGACTTCCTACTAGCGCTAGTAGGTTGGAGGCCATTGCTGGTAGGGTGGAGGCCATCGCCATTAGTTAAGTTTGATTCACGACTTCTTCACGTTTTGAGTGCCTTGGACCGCAATCGCTTCACTTCAGACTTCAACAGGTTGAGTTCATTGCTCACCTGCGTATCCAATAGCGACCTGCCACCATGAACGCCGCAGTCAAACATTGTTTGTTGGATCGTTTGTAAGGTTGGTGCCTGGCCAAAGCTTCGCTTCCACGGTAGCTGCCCAAAAAACAATCTTCATCGGTTTGGCTTGCGTCCTCGTCTTTGTCATCCTCCTCAGCCAAAACAAGTACCACTTTTGCGGCTTAGAACCTGCATCGTGATTGATTGAAACCAACCAAAAGAATCCCGCAACAAACAAGTCAACAGTGCCATTTGCTGCCTACTGTCCTCATCAATCATCAAAACCGCTTTGTTTGCATCACGGCCATGGCAAATAACAACAAACCATTGTGAATGGTTGTTCAACTTAGGATTGAGTCGCATTCGACATTGTTGCTGCCACTGTCCCAAAATATACGGTTGACGTGGATATGTAACATATATATATATATCATCATCAAAAAACACACAACCATTTATTTGTGTTGCAGCTTGTGTGACACACCTGCACAATTGTGCCCAGGTGAAACGCTTCGTTGCATTGCCGGATGTATGGAACTGTCAATGGATAGGGTTGCGTTGTCAATGGATGTTCGGCCTAAAGAGGAAACACTAAACGAAAAAATAGTAACTGAAGACCGGCTGAAAGCAGCCAATAGACACCGTAAAGAAAACCAACTAATCAATGAAATCCAACACAGTTGGAGAGATCTCGAAAAGATGCAAAATAAGTGAGCAGTTGGAAAAAACTGGAGACGCAGCAAAAGAGGCGAACCGAGCAATCCAAGAAAAACCACCAGCAAGAATCCGTTGCATATTTTTTGTAAATTTGCAACCAAAACCACCGCGTCTCGGCAACATGAAAAGAACTCAAGGACGCGGTCTCTTGGGTGACTGGTTGCGCTTTGGCTGGGTTTGGCTTGAAACTCTCTGCTTCACTCACTGCACCGATCTTTTGGCATCGCTGCCGTTGGCTGTGGTGAGCCGCTCGGCATTGAGGTTCTTGAACAGAATGAACACGAAACAATGAACTGGGTACATAACACCACCATCAACCCCAAACAGCATTTGTTCAATTGGTCTGCTGTCAAGCGCCATGGCATACACACAAAAACATGACCTGACAATCCCAATTTTAAATTGCAAAAACCCTGACGCCCCATGGCACTTTCGAAACATAGCTGTGCACTTTTACAATGCAAGCGTGTGCGTTCAAAATCGTTCATCCAATGATACAAGCATGCGTTTTGAAACCAACTTTTGCGTGTATCTTTGGGTCTTCTTTTACCATCAACCACAACCTCAATCTCAAGCACGAGAATGTGCACGACAACCGCGCCAAGAGCAACTGGGAAGATTGCTCTTTTCACATGGCCTTGGCAAAACACCCAATGATTTTTTCCCGAATGCGTAGCGAAGGGTTCTCGTTTAACTCTGGGGGTCTGGGGGTAAAGCCTTGTTCGCGACCCGTTGTTTCTATGTTCGCAACCGTCCGCAACCGTCCGCAGTAGGACGCTAAGGCGCTGCCATTGGGGGAAGCTTTTGGAGTGGGCTTCGGATGAAAACATGACGTGTGAAATAGCGAGGAATCGTGTGAAAATGTATTGAAGTGGTGGTTGAACAATATTCTTTCATCCTGGAATGGCCATTCATCGCGGAAAAAAATATCTTTCGCGGATCTTTCGCGGCCTCATCGCGAAGCATGGTCCTACAACCATGTCTAGCTAACATGAGCCGGAACATGTCATAGTATCACAAAATAGGGAGAGACATCTTGCAGCATGACCCCAGTAGATGGTTGAATGTTTCCACAGCTACTCAGGGTCACTTGCAGCATCTGTGCGACAATTGTGACAAATAGAGTCAGGCGCAACTCAACCCAGTCCTCGTGCCAGCTACCAACACAGGGTGATGCAACTTGGGGAATGTTGGGGGGCCTCAAGCTGGGAACCTAGACTTTAGCGGCACATTCGCGAAACTTTCGCGGATCTTTCGCAAAATTTCACGGGCACTTTCCACAGGAAGCTGTAACATTTGCAAACATCTGCACAGCCCGTCAGAGAAGCTGTAGGTCGTTGCCTCACTATCACGGGCTGTGCCTACCCAGATTACTCGTCTGTGACAGTGGGGACAGAAATCGGAGAATCCCTTACGCACTGCCAGGGCTGGGCACGGAAATGTTGAGGCTTCAGTTCGTTAGTTTGTGACATATGGCGACACTTCCGCCCACTGGCTCTGCCGGAGGATTGCCTTGCGTTTCTATTCTTTGTCAGCCCGGTAGAAAGGAAAGCAATGAAAGCGATGACCTTCGATAAATCTTTCGCGGAAAAAAAGAGATACTTTCGCGAACCTCATCGCGAATCTTTCGCGGATGGTTCTAACAACATCTGAAAGGCTGTTTTATATAAAACTCCTTACACGGGGTTTGAGATCAACTCCCAAGTGTGGAGGATGATTTCACTGCGCAGGTGCAGCGCTGTGTGAGATCCGCAGTTTGCTGCGCGGTTCCATTGGGATTACTGTTTGGAGAGTCGTGTTTTTGGGGTGTTGGATGTGGCCGTGACATTGAGATTCAGGGTGTGGCATCGAAGCTCTGTTTTCGTGACAAGTCTCAGCTGAAATGGCGATTTTGGTGGATGGGTGTGGTGCAAATTTTGCGCAAGCTCACATGAGATGGTATGGTCACTTTTCGTGGCAGGCGCAGTACTTTGTGCGGGTTTCGTTCAAATACGATGAACGTGTGGAACAACCCAGAGCTTTCGAGAAGTTCTTCTACTCCCTCAGCCGAAGAGGAGAACAAACACTGATGTCATACCGCACGGAGCACAGAGAGTGTTTGCGTGAAGTCCTGATGCGCTCAGTTGTTGTTGGAGTGTAGAACGAAAGAGTCTCGTCGGTCAACTCTTGCCCTCTGCTTGGAACGTCTCTGGTGCTGACGGTGGTCTGTGCAGGACCTGAAGACCATTGGGACGTCGAAGAGAACGGTCACCTGCACTCGCGTCCACGTCCGGCCACGGCAGACAATATTTTGTGCGCCAACATCCGAGAACATGCACCGTGGAGAGACTTCCAAGACTCCAAAACCACCACGATTCGCTGGACAGGTACCACCACTTTCGTTCTGAGGACAGATCGAAAGACAGCCACAGCTGCTCCACCAATTGGTGAATCAACAACAGAGGGAAACAGACCTGAAACACCAGCACAGGGAACCAACAGGGAGGCACTGATGCACCAAAACACTGGAGAACATGATCCAACACCGCCTCCAATGGCAGCAGACACACCGCTGCACCCTCCCTCAAGCACAGGGGAAGAACCAGAACCACCAGAACAGAAGATCACTGGCATCGTTCCCGAACACCAGCAGGTTCGGCTGGTGTCAGCTGCAGGTTCCATGATTTCATCTTCAGGTGCTCACTTGACGCTTGGAGGAGCTTTGTGCCGTGCGCAACTAGTAGGTGTTGGTTGTTGGACCTGTGCGGCCGGGTTCCGTATCACGACGACGGGCCTTTCCATCTGCTCCACCTGGTGCGTCACGCCAGCAGCAGACGCGTTGGCCGGTGGGGTGGTGATATTGGATGGCTTGGTGTTGCCGAAGCAGTGGCGGCGTCATTGTCGGCCATGGCTGCTTGCTTCTGAAGGTGAAGCTGTGAAAACACGGAAGCAGGCGCGACCCCTTTTTGAATCCCGCTCTTGAGCCAAACGTTACAGTCGGTTTGACTGTATGTCTGTTCATCCACTCTTCTCTGAAGAGGTCTGACTGGTCACAGTCGACCAAAACATTCTCAAAGTACAAGAAAGCATCTCCA